AACGGAGCTGTGGAAGCAATTGCGACGCTTTTAGGTAAGCGGAAGATCATCAGCAACCACTTCTCACCCATCCCGTGCTGATGCGTTCTTCAGCGAGGTCTCTGTCACTTTTCTGTTTGTCTCCCACGAGGACCAAGGTGGCAGCAACAGCCTCCAAGGCAGCACCCAGACAAACACTGTGCAAAGCACGTTTGTGCCACGCAACCTGAGCGGTGGGGTCCTCCAGAACAATCTGCAATATAGACACACACGCTTTTCTTCTATTTACGCCGTTATGCAATGACTGCAGGACAGTAACACTTCAGAGTCTTAACTATTACTTTTAAATTTCTAGGTTCAGCAACAGCCATTGCAGTTGGATACGTCAAGCTAAACTGGGATCTTTCTGGAGAACTGGCTCTGGGGATTTTCTCTGCGCTGGATGCTGGCTGCCTGTTTCTCATGCGCTTCTCTGACAACATCTGGGCAAGTTACGCCGGTTACCTTGCATTTAAAGCATGCTACATGCTCCTCATAACAATAGCAACGTAAGTGTAATCCACAACTGTTCTAACTAAACGAATTTAAATCAATAGTCACTTTTATACTGGCCAAGATTTTACCGAAAGTTTCTTTAGAAAAGACATTTTTAAACACGTCGGGACAGCAGCATGTTATTCCTAGCTTATATAAAACTACACTTCAAATTACACGACCTAACTGTTACAACTGGTAAGAGCCAAGACCGAAAAGGCCTTATCCTTGGAGAAATCCACCATGCACATGAAACTGTTCCCAAACTGCCTCCTGTAAGTGAACTGCAAACATCCTCCTCCTCCCTAGGTAACCCGTACACTCATTTTCAGGTTTCAGATCGCCATCAACCTCAGCATGGAGCGTTACGCTTTGATGTTCGGCTTCAACAACTTCATTGCGCTGGTGATTCAGACAATTTTAACTGTTGTCGTCGTAGACTCGACGGGTCTGAACCTGGATATCAGCACCCAGGTAAGCCTCACACTGCTCTCGGCTGCCCATCTCTCCTCTGAGAGAGGGTTCTACGTGGAGATGAGCCACAACCAGCTGCTACAACTTTCTTGTCCTCTACTCCTGCCCATTTTGGGTTTCTGCAGTAATTTCCAAAGTATTTTCCTAGAGCAGAAAGGATAAGACCACTGTAATTATGAAAATTAAGGGATCTCACGATTCCACATTCCATTTCTAAATTTAAAGTTTCAACTTATGCACTGACGGGAGCCGCCACGCTGCTCCAGTCCTGTCGGGATGACTTGGGGCAAGGGTGACAGGGCAGGCGGCACCGGAGGGATGCCCCTTAAGTTGGTACCCAACGACAGCAGCAGTTTTTGACTCCTTCTCCCCCACCTCCATTTCCCAGTTCCTCATTTACAGCAGCTACTTCGCATGCATAGCTGGGATTTTCCTGCTCAGAAGCGTGTACACCATCGTCTCCATCAAACGCAGGAACCGCGGCACGGCCGGGCAGAGCACGGCTTTTTAATGATGGAGGCAAAAACAGCAGCTGCAAGCAACAGTGCAGAAGGCTGCATCATCTGAACAATTAATCAGGAGAAACGTAACGCTCAGTCAAGTGAGACCGATCAACGGTGAACCAGGCTGCTTATGAGCCTGCGGCACGAAGAGCTTTTGGTGCGCTTTGTCCATTTTCTTCACCAGCAGTTCAATACCAAATAAAACTTCTATGCAACTCAAATTTAGTGTCCTGACACCAGAACTTCTATTAGTGCTCGATGAGCACAAGTGCCAAGTACACACAGATGCCTGAACCTCATGACAGAAGAGCTTCTAGATCTCAGCCTTCCAACTTTCACTTCTACCAAGTCTTTCAATTAAAGGCAATTTAGTTACAGACACAAGACCTTCAGGCATCCCTAGGCAATCCCAAGCAGCAGCTGCCCCATTGCAGCGAGATGCTGGAAAGCTTGCCATGGAAATCTTCTGAAAACCTGAGGCTTTTTCAGGTGTTTACAGCAAGTTAACGAACAGCAATGAATTATTTTTCTTCCAAAAGACACCACCTGTGTGCGCTCCGAGGCGGGTCCCTGCGGTGCTGCACAGCGCAGGGATGCGGCTGCCCCCGCGCACCAACAACGAAACGCAGCCTTTCCCGCTTCGCGCTGACAGCACGCTCCCCAGACACCCGAGCAGGAAACCACCAGCAGAAAGCCTGCGGACAGACTGCGGAGGCAGCTTTACAGCGCAGTTCTCGAGGATGCACGAACACAACGCACCGTCCTTCCCTGCCAGCACCTCCATGAGCAATGCGCTAATTACGCCTGGCACTGGGCACGACCCACACACACTTGCCTCCAGCAGCAAAAACGCTTCTAAACCAACTTCTTAAGACACGGGGAGACACTTCCATTCCGACACAGGCAGTCTGGAAGAAGAGGACTAAAAGCTGGGATGTAACTACGCCGTCTGCTCTGGCCTCAGCTGTACCAAATCCCGCTCTGCTCCCTCACCACAATTACTCAGCCTCTTACACACGTAGGAGCTGACATATACACGCTTTAACCCAATAAAACGTACTCATGCTACACGATTGTTTTTTCTAATATTTATTTTTTTTCACCTGCAAACTGTAGCAAAACATGATCAGCTTTATTATGCAGACAGGTATCCCTCTAACATTAGAGATTTAGGCATGTATAAATAGAAGAGCTCTTAGGAAAGGAAAACATTTTGAGAAATGAACAAACCTTCAGTTGAACTTGGTGACTTCCAACACCGATGGTTAAAATGATGTAGCTCATTCATTCCAAGAGATACAACAGCACCGTAAAGTGGCTGATCTATTTCCCAGTAACATTTTTCACAAAACAATGTGTTAAAGTTACAAATACTGATATGCACAAATAGCTATTTTCTAAGAAAAATATGTACAGTACTGCAGCATAATGAATGTGGTATCTGCAATAACTTATTAGCCAATTTTAATATACATGATACCGCTACTTTGTACCTGCTCGTTCACAGGTTCAAGGATGTTACCACAGCCCTCTGTTTTGCACGTTATTACCTGGTGGGGGGGTTGATTTTCTCAGGGTTTGTGTATTTTGTTTATTTTTTTGATTTTTTTAAGGATACACAATGCAGGCTTTTATTTTTACTTCTTAAAGACTTTTGTGTTTAAAGCTAATATCAGTGAAACAAGACAACAGTGCAAGAGGCGCAGAGATGTTATGTGACCACATAAGAGTTCTTTTGGGTAAAGTGTCTATAAGGCTATAAGAAAGGATTGGTTGCTGAGCTTCCCGTTGGAAATTGTCCTGTAGGTGCACCAGCCTGGGGGGAAACGAAAGAAGAGAAGTGAGAGAAATACTTAAGATTTCCTTCCACACTGTAAATCATAAATGCAGGATATATTAAAAAAAGAAAACGTCCTATGACGAAACAGGTTCACGTTCCAGTCGTTCTTTTTTTGGTCATTCTCTGATATTACACTACTGTTAAGAGCACGGCACACAACTATCTCTGTTTGGATTCAAACAGCCTTACAAACGCCACACTACCGTAGTACTGAAGTGCATTTAGGAGATTCAGATGCTGCCTTTCCTTATCTGAGGGAAAAAAATTGTTTTGTGTCTCTAAATGGTTACAGATTCTGCCCACTCAGACACACAGAAGTTATTAACATCACACAACAACTCACTCACCATAAAAGGGTTACGAGATACTCCAACAGCTGCAACTTGTCCAAAAGGAGTTACTACAGGCTTTGCCTGTCCGAAGGCAGCAAAACCTGCTCCTTGGGAAGATAAGTGAAAAACGTTAACACTAGTGACCCATCTTCAAAGGGCTCTTCGCAGAAGCTCCCCCACAAGAATAAGTGGAGGCTTGGGCTGTGCAACCAGCGGGATCGATCCTATTTGTCTACAGATGTAAGCACAAAGAAATACGTCTGGGCTTTTTCTTCGTCTTCAACTGTTTGGAACTAATCAATTTCCAATTTCTACACAAGCACATTTTTCAATGTTATTTTATCATTTAAATTTTGCTCTTGCCTGTGTTCTGCGAAGTTAGAGAAAGCGTTATACACAATCGGTTTGCAGGCATTCCAAAACCCAAGACAAACCCATCTTTTTTTTTTTTCATGTAAATTCTTTAAAAGCTTGGGAATCCTTCACATTTTAGTGTAGCTCAGCTACGGAGCCAGACCCTACGGAGCGTGGGAACCTGCCGCCACTGTCATTATCGAGCTCATCTAGAACTAACTGCTACCGCTACCCCCCAGACAGAGCATTTTCTCCGTGTCTCTGACGTGACTGAGATCCTCCTGCGTGTGCGCACACCTACCGTTGGGCTGCTGGGCAAAAGCAGTCTGCTGAGGGAAAGCTGCCTGCGTGGGGAACGTGGGCTGCTGGAAGTTGCCACTTAAACTGGTAGGAAGACTGTAGGAGGCAGGAGTTCCAAACCCTGCAGGCATGCTCAGGGATGCAGTACCAAACGTTGCTGCTGGCAGGCAAAAAATAACATTCAGTTACTTGTAAGAAGTCCCCTTTTTCGTGAGACAAATTACTATGATGCCATGGGAAGAGGTCTAACAACTCAAATTAGGTTCAACTTCCACAGCCACTGAACTGATGTGTGAGCTTGGATCACCACCAACTAGGTGCGCAACGTACTTCTGTGCTTTAAAAGCTAACAGAATTGTTTAAAATTTACTAGAGCCAGCACTTTCAGAAGTACTTTCTGAACAGGAACTTTTCTATGTTCTCGATGTTTTCATATACAAAGTTTTTCTGGTAAAAGTCCACGCACATCAGAAGCAAGCACGTTCAAGCAGCATAAGCCCCTCTGTTTTTCCCCGTCTGAGAAAAGCACAAAAGGATCTTCCTACTTCAAGCTGCATTGCAGGAAGTAACAAGTAAGAAAAATAAAGTTCCAAGGGATACATGCGTCCCATCCTTGCTGTCGTTTTAAAGGGAATTCTCACCATGCACATTATTTACACACAGCATTTCTACTGCAAATGCTCTTACTGTTAAGACTTAAAACAACAACAACCAAAAAAAACCCCAAACCAAAACCCAAACTTTTCATCTGATTCTCTGCTGAACATTTCAAGTAAAGAACACACACATCATATGCAATTTCACATGCCTTCAGCAAATAAACACGAGCACATCGAGTGCCAAAATGTAGTAACAAAACCATTATTCAGTCTTTTGGGAGTTATTTTTGAAAAGAGAAACATAAAAGTGTTTGGTGGGGGCACAAATACAGACACCTGGCATTTTATTCCACTTGAGTATTAGACAGGACATTTCTGTTGAAATGTTAACAAGTCACATTTTATGCAAGCTCAACTGTTAAAAAAAAAAAAAAAGTTTAATGAATATAGCTCAATTATCAATTGAAAAAAATTACCCCAGAAGTATTCAAGGGCAAGACATGATACAAACACAAACTGCTGACAAAGCACGCGCCAAACTACCGCACCAACACTGCTCTCGAGTGACAGGTAGCAGAGAAGCTGTCCAGCAGGAGAACTTGCTAAAGCAGCAAACGGACACAACCACGTGAGCAGCACTTGGGATATCCCAAAAGGCATCAGGCTACCGTTGGTAGAAACTTCAGGAGCCACTCGACGTGCGAGCACAGAGGGTGCCAATAATGGTTTTGTTTTGGTCGTTTCACAGGTTGCCTACGTGTGCTCTTCTCCCCCCTTGCCCCGTGGCCAATACTCATGCCCGCCCCGTTTTAAAGAAGGGCAAGTCTTCTGCCACCCCACGTGCAGAGAACCAGATAGCTGTCAATAAGCAAGAACAATTAGCCACAAGAAACTTGATACCAAATGTGGCCACCTACCAAAATGAGCCTGAGGAAATATGTGAGAGTGCATTGCTCCCGAGAGGCCTTATGGAAGCCACAAAGAGACCAGACAATGTCAGATCATTTATACGCTCTTCGGCAGTCATTTCTTAGTTAGAAATAGAAATATACACACGTACATGTACCAGACAAGCCATCCGTAGCGCGACCAGCAATGGATTCAGCTAAGAGACCCATCAGAAGTGAACACCACAGAACAGCGCCCCCGTGCAAACAACAGCAACGTTCATGCAGGAAGAAAGCTCGGCATCAAAAGACAAGCTACGAGCTCACACCCGACACCGAGAGGGCCGGGGGATGACCTTTGCTTTCAGTCATTATCCCTGTCCCCTAGCACAGAGCATCAGCGGAGCTGCAGGGGCTGGAACCCCGGCAAGCCAAGGGCAGCAGCTGAGAGGGCGGCAGGATGGAGCTGCCATGTTCAAGTCTATCTAAAGAGGCTGCAGGGTCTTAACAACGATCCAAAACAGCAGTTAGGAATGAGATTAAAATAAGGAAAAACATATTTGAGGCACTAAATAGTTGAACAAGTTTAACTGCACAGGACCTCAAAAGGGACTGAGAACAGAACTGATTTTAGCAGAGGATGTGAACTTGACCAGCTGGGTTTTGACTCGGCCTGACCAGGCACCTGAAGCTCAGCTGGGTGCTAAAAGCACACATCGGCAGATTTAAGTCTCTGGAAGCCCAGTTCATAGACAAAGGTGCCAAAACTTAGCAGGGCTTCTGGCAAAGTAAATTAGCATAATCTAGCAGTCATCTAAACCCAAGAGAAGAATAAGTAGGAGTTTTTCAAGAAAAGAGTTACGTTTTTGTCCACAGAATTATGATTCTACAGAATCCTCCTCCAGAAAATTAATGTAATTCATTAGTGTAAAGATTTTATTTAAACATATGCTTTACTACCACAAGAGAGCATAAAGGACACCACCAGTGTGCTGAGCAAGGGGACTGGTGAGGAGCTAACAGCCCCAAAGCCTTTTCTTTCCTGGTTCTAGACCCAACTCTTTTGCTTTGAGGACTTTCAGAACTTTGAAATAATGAAAGAAATATAAAAAGCAAGTGTAGCTGCTTAGCAGCAGGGCTTTCAAGATCCTTGATTTTAGAGCAACCTGCTATGATGCATTTTGACATTTTTCATGGACACCGTTTAAAATCCCAGGATTGGGCCAGAAACAGGAAAATAATGTCCTCAGCCCAATAAAAATCACCACCTGAGAAAAACCCCAACAAACTAAAAAAAAACACAACAAAACTCATAGTTCACTTCTGCAGCCTGTTTATAATATTGTACTCTAATTCAACAAATGCACATGTCAAATGGACTAGAGACAGATAATACACAAAGTCTTTAGAGGAACAAGTTACACAGGAAAAAAAGGATCATTGCAAGTCTTGAAAGAAAGTTGCTCCAGCACTTAGTGGTTATTTCCTTACCTGTTGCTCCTCGGCTATGGGTCTGGAATGGATTTGTTGAAGGTGCCACTGGGGCAACAGGGGCAGCTACAAATGGATTTGTGGAAGGCGTTGCTGAAATAAAACCAGGTATTAAATAAAGTCTGTTAGAAATAGCCAGTCTGACTCACACAAAGTTTATACAGCTTTTAAGCAGATACAGAATTATCTAAAGTTACATGAAAAATTAGGAATTAATAATGAAACACTTAATTTGAAACGCATGACGGCAGTGCTTTTTTGGCACCCTTTAGTAACTTCAGCCTCCGTGGTGTCAAAGGATAGCACTATGAACTAAAAATCAGCAAGACATTTGCTTACGGTCCACAAAAGGCGTTGGCAACACTTGCGTACCTCCAAACGGAGCAGGCACGCTCGAAGACGCTGGCTGTGTCTGTGCCGTGGCAGCCACTGGTACTGTTCCAAAAGCATTGCTGAAAACAGTTCACACAGTCAGCCAAGTCAGAATTGCTTCTTTAACAGATAAATATAAGTTAAAATTGCTGTGGACGTGTGAAAGAGCAGGAAAGGAATGCTCGCGCACAGTTTGCACACTGCAGCATAACTCACTGACGCCAGGAGCCAAGCCCCTGCACTGCGGTTGGGGGCCACAGCCTGTGCTGAGCCACAACAAGTCATCCCCACCACCGGCAGAGAAAGAACATTAACAGAGGCCACCAGCATGAATGCTGCAGAGCGGAAGCTTCGGGGGCACTGCAACACCAAGCAGAGCTACAACAGGCCTTTGGCATTTATTAATGAAGTAAAAAAAGAAATGGTTGGCACTGTTTACATTATAAATATCTTATTTTTTTTTGCCGGGGATGATGCTATGATGTTCAGCACACACGCAAATACTCTGTACAGAAAAGTGTTACCACCTAACAGGTTTGGCAGGTAATGACTAGAAGGGTGCAGGGAGCATTGTGCTGAGAGAAAAGCAGTCTCCATTTTATCTCCTGACATCCTACCAGACAGCACTGCTATTATTTAAAACAAAGGCCGCAGTTTCAGCAGTACCTCGAAACTCATTCAACATTTCCCCACCTAGGTAAGACATAAAACCAGATTTGAGGAGCAAAGAGTCAGCTCCTTGTGGCAGGGTACCTGGTAACGTTGTTGGTGGAAGTGTAGGCGTTGCTGGAGGTGGCGGTGGAGCTGAACACACTGTCTAGCTCAGCCAGAGCCGCGTACTTGTCTGAAGATGCGCTTGGCTGGTTTGGAGCTGGCAGGGCAGGACCTGCTGGGGCCGACACCACGGAACTGAAGCCGCTCCCCGGCTCGCTACCGCCTACAAAGAAAGGAATCGGATTAAAAGCGGTGAAGTTGGTTTCAGCTTCTGCCCTGCCAACACTGATAAACTGCCCGTGAACCTTCCTTTAAAAAGTTTCAGACTCAAAAACTAAATAGGCCCTAGGGCATACAGGAAAAAAACATGTTCAAGAAGCCATTAGCAACGTGTCATGCTTCTGCAGATAATTCTGCAGCCCCACAGACCCTCTAGTTTCCCTGGCAAGTAATGACTCAATACTAGCATCATCTTCAACCAGAAAATTTAACAAAACACATACCCGTAAATAATTCAGTTCAGAACAAAGCTCTACAGTACAAACCAACACATGTTCTTAAACACGATTTGAGAATGGAAAAAACCCAACAACTTACAGAATAACCATTTTTTTCCCCCTTAATTTAAAATCAACCAAGTCCAAGCATCACTGCTACTTGTTTACAAAAAACTAAAGCCAAATCTTTTTATGCAGAGAAGCAGGAAAGCTACTCCAGCAGTTCTCTGCAACAACTGTAGCTCTCCAATAGCAGCCTTCACTATATATTAGCACAAATAAAATATAAATATTTTATATATTCTCATCATTTCAGTAGTCATTAGACATTTCCACTTAAGACTGATGCATCTCGACAGGACGTAGGTTCTTCTGACAGCATCCCTCCGGAGTAACATTAACCTTAAAACTTACATCTTCAACATTAAGGGTACGCTGATGTCAAATTCTACCGCGAACTCCAAGAAGGGACATTCTGAAATACGGCTACTATCCTGACAAGCACAGCCATCCCTGGGGTAAGTATACACGTGTGGAATAAGCACATCAAAGAATAAAGCTTAGTACCTTGCCCTGCGCTGAAGATATTATCTAAATTGGCAAGAGCCGCGTATTTGTCAGCTGACTGGAGGTTCTGTTTATTCACCGCAGCTTTCCCGGCTCCTGCCGTGTTGTTGAAGGCTCCGAAATCAGCACTGGAGGATTTGGGGAAGTTATCAAAGTGAGCAAAGTTAGCATTCACTGATCCAGCACTTCCACCTGCAACAAATCAAGTTAAACACCATCAACACTTCGAAGCTGGAGAACGTCTTTCGAGCTGCAACTTATAGCACAATCGTCACATCCCACCTCTTTGTGATTACACAAGGCAAAACATTCGCCCAGCCCAGCCCACACACTTAAGACCGTTTCCTATTTTCTTCAAAAGCTACGTTTGGTCATCAAAAAAAAAATAATTTGGGGATTTTTCAATCTGAAGATCAGAGACAAAAGCTCCTCCAAACTTCAGCAGCTTCAAACACAGTCATAATTTGATTGTGAAAAAGTGCATGCTATTTATTAGCTGTTAAAGTGATTTCAGCAATAATATTTCACTAGAAAAATTAGTATTTGTCTGCATCTTAACATTAAAAGTAAAGAAGCTTCATTTTCTTGTCCCATGTGTCTAACGAGTAGCTACCATTTGCATTTACTTAATGGCACAGCGTTTAACCATCTCAGACGTCAGCCATCATTCTAAGCCACAGGCGGTGCCTGGAAGCCCCAGAGCAGCCCGATTTCACGCCGAGGTTTCGGCAGTTTGTTCCTCTGCTCTCAGATTTTCAGACTACATCCAATCAGGAAGGAGGCGAGGGGGAAGACAAGGCAGCTCTTTTTACACCGAGTCTCCACTGACATCGGAGATCCATAGATCAATTTTAAAAATCTGACTTGGGTGCACACAGCTGAACTTCAGTTCAAATACAAAACCACGAGCTTCCGTCTCTTCCGTGTCTGAACAATTTAAATCTAGGCAGGTCACGTTCTTAGATTTATAAGAGTTGTTCCATTAAGTGCATCGTATTATACAGCAGTTGGCTGAGGACTCCACGCATGCTACAGAACACACAACTTTCTAACAGCATAATCAGTAGGTTAAAGCATACGCGACAGTAGGAATGAGAATGCTATACTACAATGGCATAACATGAAGCAAGCTGAGTTTTCCACTGCGTGGAACTTACTGTGCACAGCCTGGAGAGGAAAAGCTGAAGTAAATTCACCAAAACTGCAGCTAGATGAAAGCGTTCTGAACGCTGGACAGCCAGAAATTGTGTGTGGGTTAAAGTTAACATAAGAAGGGAGAAAGAAAATTTGAAAAAAAGTTTAAAACGACACCACACTCAAAAGAAAGGAAAAAAAAAAAGGAAAAGAAAGTCAGTCAGCCAAAGATCTAGACAAACAGCAAGTGTAAGCTCAAGCAGAAGTTCTAAAGCATGATCAAATTAAAGCAAAGCAAAATAAATCTTAGCAATAGGCTCTACACATGAAGTCAAACATACTCAAGCGTGTGCATGTTACAGACACACTTCTTTTTGGTACTGTGATGTGCTTTCGAGTCTACTGAAGCACTTCTCTTACAAGATAAAGAATCAATTCAGTATTTATCAGAAGCAGTATAAGTTTACTCTTTTCACAGTTATTTCAGGTGTAGAGCTAGCAAACACATAGTGCCATAAAATCAGACTTTTGAGTAGCATCAGGAAAAAAAAAAAAAGAAAAAAAAACAGGAAAAAAAACACCAAACAGAGGAATTCATTTTGAGTTTCCCCAGAGCTTCAGATGGCTCAATTGCATTGAAGCAGGCAGATGCAAGAAATAAACTCAACTGAAGTCCCTTCCAACATAAAGGTAAGGATTATTTCGATTAAGTATGAATCAAAAGTGCTAGGAGTTCTACCTGTATTTTGGGGCTGAAAAGGAGACTGACTTGCTGTGGGGAAACCTCCAAAATTACTCAAGCCACTAGACTGTCCAAATGCATCAAAGTTTGCAAAACCTGCATTGGCAGAGTTCTGCGCTGTAAATTGCAAAGGAACAAAACATGTTAATGGATATGGGAAATAAACACAAACACAGATGTATTAACTGAACTCATGGTCATGACAGCCTCCAAGGGCTACGTCCTACTTTGTGATTTCTTTCTTTACATTCCGAAATTAAACATGATATTCTACAACTGAGCCTTGTCTTTGACAAGCTTCCACAAATCACCGGCAGAGAGCTCTGCAAGTTAGAGCTGCGTCTCTGCTCACAGCCACGCGAACCCAAAGGTACAGAAAACACATGTACACCTGCAGAACCCAGATCAGGCATCATTCGAAACACCAGCGTCCAAAACCAGAGTCTGCAGACTAACCGAACGTTTCTTTGGGAATACAAGTCAGAAAGCGTTCTGGTAACATGCTGACAATGTGCATTTCTCCTGCACAAAGTGCTTCTCCCCTAGGTGAATCTAGTTTGAATGTTCTTGGCTACGTTCACAAATTAATTTCATTGGAAAATTCAGTTCTTGAAAAACTAGATCAGAGTACAGAAATACAGAAAATCAATACCAATGTCAAGAAGACAGCATTCATAGAGTGTATCCACAAAATAAAATCCAAGGAAATTTCAAACAGAATTTCAGTTTTCGCCTTCCTTTTGTGCGATACTACAGGAGAAAATAAAAGTTAACACCCATCTAACTTGATAAAGCTGGACATTCAAGCATCCATAGATTCAACAGGAATTGTGTGCCTAACTGACAATGCCAAGCTCCACAAGAAATCTTGAACACTGCTGTGAGCAAGGAGTGAGGGGAAAAAATGTTCCTGATCAAGTGCAGAACAAGAAAAAAAAAAAAAATCAGTAAGAATATGCAAGGCCTTGGGAATGTTCTGTCCTAACATTTTCACAAGGAGAAAGAGTTGACACAGGAAAAATAGTTTCTCCCATTATATCATCTGCAATGGTTCAAAGAGCATTCTAGAGACTTCAAATCCCACCATTTGTTTTGTTTGGTTGTTTTTTTAAAAACCTGTGGCTTTTAAAGAGGAATAAATTAAGAATTCAGCCGCACCTTGTCAAAGCGATGCTTTCATCCTGCTGCATCAAGCCCTCGGTGGCTAGGCTCATGCCCAGCTGACTAAGCAGGATTAAGTACATAAGCATCACTCCTACAACTCTGACAGAATTTTTCATTTTAACCACTCACACAAAGAAAACACTATGTCAGGAACCTGAAGTGAAGCATCTTTTGGGTCTAGATTAAAAATTGGAACATACTATGTTACAGGCCACTTTTAACAACTGCCCCCTGCCAGCCGGGTACGGTTTGCAGGGCACGGTTTGCAGGTGGGCCCGTGTTGGAGCAGCAGAGCTGGGAAGACTCTTCTGCAGGGCATTCGGATGTTCATCTTGCTTTATTTTTACGTGGCCAAATTTAAGCCTATGCAAAAGCAGCACAAAGGTAAAGACCAGGTTAAGACTTGTACTTTCCTGAACCCGAATCATATGTAGATCACGTTTTCAGGGACAGAGCAGCAACTCCAAAACCCAGTTCACACAGAAACCCAGGAACAACCCCAGGAGTATGTTCAGGAGTTGCAGCGACAGCCGGCGGGCACAGTTACCCCTGTGCCGTGACCGTAGATCGGCGATGCAGTTCTGGTCACGTCTCTGCTTCGCCAGCCGCCCCTACCATCTCCCTGCAGGCTTCTTCTGTGAGGTTTGCACTAACCCAGTGTGGAACAAAGGCACAAGACATTGCAAAACCAAAAGGACAATGACTATATTCTACTATTCTATTTCTTCCAAGTAAAGCCTTTTCCTTCCTTGTTAGCTATGACCGAGCTGTGCCCTGTCACTACATGTGCTTAAAATCTTTTATACAGGTCTTCTATTCCACTAAATTATAACAGATCTACATGCCAGTTATCTTTTTTCTTGTCATCATGGCTACAGAGAACCCACAAAGAGTAATAAAGTATATATCAATACAGAATCGTTCAGCAACAAGTTTGAAAAGAATAAATTATTAGAAAGAATTAAAAATCTGTAGCCTCTTAAGTAACACTGTACAACACTGGCTAGTCAGCACAAGTCACCCCAGTTAAAAACAAAAAAATCCCAAAACTATGATTAATGTGAAATCTTATGGTAAGGATTTTACCACACACATCGCAACAGCAGGGCTTATCCCGTATTACTGAATTCAGCCAGTTATTTCATAGCACTTTCTTGGCAAGTTAACTTTGAGAAAGCCTTGATACTTGGCTCCTTTCCTGAGGTGTGCCTTAAGTCCCCTCCATCACACTTCCTCTCGGCTGTTACGAGAGGACCAATTTGCAAAAAATCTCTTCTCTTGCCAGCTCAGCAGCACCAGTTTCTCCCAGAAAAACTAGACGAAAAGCACATTAAGACAAGGCAGGCAAAGGTACTTTCCCACAATTATAACGCAAGGTAGCAACAACATATTCCAGTGACCACAGAATCACCTTTTTCTTCAGGATAGGCTTCTATGGCTCAATGGCTTCTGTGGCTGAACATAAACCCCACGGGCTCAATGTGTTTCACTGAAGTCATTCTTGAGGAATCCAGCGCCTACCCCCAGCCTCAGTCAATACAAATGCTCACAGCTTGCTCATTCTTCCCCAAACTACAGACTACAACCCACACGGGCAGCATTCGGTTTGTAGACAGACACGCGCACAAAAGAGGAGGTCATTCTTTAAACTGAGGACACCTTTGTTTTTCTTTGAAAAAAATGACAGTTACTGTGAATGCAGCCGAACTGCCTTAAGGTCTCTCTATCTGCTGTCTTTTCATGAATGCTGCCCTTAATTTTCAGAAAGAAAACTGAGGGTGTAATATCAGCTTCTCCCTACATTCTGTTACTCATCTTCTCACGCTCTCCCTCGAAGAATTTACAGTTCTACTAGTAGGCAGAAACATTCTAATCATACATATAGCTATACGAAATAGCTACAGCAACTCCCACTTCAAAAAGCAGGATTATCAGCTTTTATGTCTTCAGCCTTTCTTCATAAAGATCTAAAAGAAATCTTGAGCATTCCAAGATTCTCAAAGCACAAATGACATACGCCCCATGAAGTTTAAAGTCATCAAAAATTTAAACTACATTTCATACATTTAAAAGAGTTACATGACTCAAAATGCTTACCTGTATGACTGTTGAAGTGTGCAAAATTAGCAAAATTTGCTGCAGCAGTTGACTGAGGAGGAGCAGCAGCAAAGATATCTGAGCCAAGGTCACTGAGGAGGTCAAACTGTTTCTTTTCTTGTTGCTGCTGTCCTTGAGATCGAACTACAACAGGAGACTACAAACAACATTTCAGTTAGCCAATACAAAAAGCTGGGATTTTACCAAACTGGCTTGTGCAAAGTCCTAGAACAGACTATATTTCCCTCACAAGCCATTAAATGCCTGACGTTTCAGATGCCGTATACAGCGCAGACCCTCCTCCTATGGTATGAGGAAGACTATTTATGCTACTATAGCAGTAGCAGATTTCCATGGATTAATAGGGCCTAGAAAAATAAAGTAGCAGCATATAAGCAACTTCAGAATTACGTCTTTAAAACGGCAAATACATTTCACACCCACATATTCGCTACTCATCTCACAGTTAACAGTATCAGCCGTTTTACTGTTTGGAAACAAAAAACCCAAACCTGTAAATATACTACATTAGGTTCAAACTTTAGAGATATTTAAGCAAAAGACAATCGTAATCAAACTTGATCGCACTGGAAAATTCTGCTTCCTGAAAATTATTTAAAAAAAAAAATAAAATCATTAATTCGGTCAGTAGAAACAAGCTTAATTTAGAACCTGTATATTTCAACAGAATACATAAAGTTATCTCCAGTAATCACGCCAGGGATGAGCTGCTACGCTCAGAATTCCTGCGCCACTGACAGAGAAGCAGCAGGGCGGCTGGACAGCCGTGTGGCCCTGCTCACCTGGCTCGGCGTGCCCTTGTTTAAGTGCAGCGTGGGTGCAGCTTCTCCCAAGAGAGATTTGAGCGGCTTCACCTCAGGCGTGCTGCTCGTACTGCTCGCAGAAGACCCCGATATGGATGCATGGACTGACGCCACCACCTTCGCTTGCTCTGGAGGAACATACCTGCAATTCAGAAAAAGCCATGTTTTCCACCAGTTTAACGTGAGAAGTTCCGCTCAACATTCCTAAGAGTCAAGCGCAAGAACTGGCAGATCTCAGCTTTGCTATTTTAACCACTGACCCTGCAGCAAATTATCAGTAGTTTGCAAAACACCCATTATTTAAATATGGCAGACTTTTATTTTTTATTTTTAAATGGACTAGATTTCCAAGTCATCAATACGTTATTGCACTTATTTAACACGAACCACACGTCTTCCACCTTCTAATAAAAGCTTATAGACCCTTTACACTGCTGCTGACATCCCCTTAGGCCGTTTCTGCTCCATCAATACGAACTACACACTGAGAAACGTCTCCAAAGAGCTCGTCTTCTCTGCTTCCTGTAGGAGCTATGAATAAAGTCCAGAAGTCATTTTCCTTTACAGAGCTGCACAATCTAGCCCAAAGAGCGCACAAGACGGAAAGCATGCTCAAGAACAGTCCATCTTCACTTCTTGTTACAGAGGCAATCTTCGTAATTGTAAAGCTATCTTACCATCTTTTCTTTTCATATTTTTCCTGTAGAAATTCCTTTACTTTCTGTGGATCCCTGAAGTCTGGAATTGCTGATGATCTATCGTCAAATAGGCCTAGCCAAATCTGTTTGCACACCTTATAAAAACAAAACAAAAAAAGCAGACCATGGATTAATCGGAAAAAATATCTTAATTCAAAACCTGTTTAAGTCTACAATTGTTAATACATAAAACGACTAAAAAGTGTGCGGCTGCACGTTTTTTCATTCCAGACTGAGCTGCTTTAACAACTGACTGGTGCACAATGTACCAGTCTAAATACTTGAAGTTCAAATACCATCTGTCACAGCAGGGCAAGCGGATCCTGGCGTCCGATTTCACCACCAAACACTGCTTTTACAAAATATTTGTAGTATGTACTCATGAAGGGGCAAAGCACCTGATTTCTACTTGCAATCTTTAAGACTCTTCTCCTCCACCTAATTCTACAGATTCCCTTACTTGTACTTCAGGGTTTAAACAGATTCCATATGCCACAACTCCCAGACGGTGGGTTTTAAAGGATCTGAGCTTAGCGACTTCTTTTTAAATGGCTTTTCTTACCATGACAGAGTTTCTATGGTATCATGTACGTTTAATCTGAGTGAGGTATGAGAGAAGGGAGAAAAGTACTCTCGCTCTGCTTTCCCATTCTCATTGTAGCTTTGAGTGAGCAAAAAGCTGAATCAATCGCAAAATTCTCAGTATGTTCAGCTTCAATTCCTGACCAAGACCAGAGCAAAGGTGACTGTTCTCAAAACTAAAGGCACGGGGGTTGTCACACTTAAAATGTTTTCTATAACCACTTAAGACTACTCTGCAAGTAACCCGAGTATACACCCAAACAACATGCCAAACATCAGCTACTCTCTAAAAACAGACTCTCCCGTTTTAGAACAGGTTGCTTCCAGAGAAGTGGAATCAAAAGCAGCTTTGTTTTTGTGGTGCATATCCTTTCTTCCCACGCCCTTTCTGAAATAGTCCTGCCCATCCCTCTCGCATGCCTCCCACAAATGCTGCCCTACCCCTGCGACACAGTCCCGATTTCGGCATTGTCCCCACGACCTTCAGGAGAAGCACATGCTCTAAGGAGCAAGAGCTGCATAAACCCATTGCCCTGAAAGCTGGCAAATTAAGGTGGAAGCTGTGGTACTTTCCACTACGTCATCTTCCCCAGAGAGGTCTTCCGTCTTCTAGACCTGGCCAGCTAACTTCAAACCTGTAGCAACTTAGCATCTTCGGTCAAGCATGGTAAGTCCTACAGATCACTTCAAAGATTGCTCAGGACTAGGAAGATCAGACAGCACAAGGAGGCATGTCATGCTCCATGTCTCAACTTTATACAGCCTGCTTGGATGCCCAACACTCCACAGTCCTTGTTGCCATCTACCAGGGACAGAAAACAACTGATGTAATGATCAAACGATAGCTCTAAATTCGTCTTTAAATAGTCATCTAAAAATAAGATCAGTAGTTCCTACTTCGAATAAACTCAGCTATTCAGCACTCGTTCAGCAGCTGTGCTGCACGAAAGGGTTAAGTTCAGCGCACTGATTCAGCTGGCAAATTTAAGCAGTCATTATTTGCAGCATGGTAACAGCTGAAAGGAGACTGAGGGTATTTGTTCAATACTTCTTCATACAAAGTTACAAGATAGAAACAGCCAAAAAAGTCACAAGTCAGTTCTAAAATAATGGTTAACAGCATGAAGCACTGTTTCAGTAGTAGCAATCTCTCCCCTGCAGCAGATAGCGTGGTGTGGGCCAGCAGCACCTTCCCATGCTCAGATTCACGAGTGTAACTGTACCAGCCAGCAGTCAAACGACTGCCGGGAAAAAGAGAAGTGCTGTCTGTGCCTAGTCACAGAACACCTGGCAGCAGGGGCTGGTTGTGTCCACATCTACACAGTCCCCAGCTTCAGTATTGGGAGGAACATCAGGAAACGCTTGTTCCTCATCTCAGACGCGCTCGAGAACAGCCCCTACTTGATCCCACGAGCAGCAGAAGTACCGTGCCGACCAGCCTGCCCGCAGCCTAAGGGGTGCTGCGGAAGGAGGGAGGTCCTCTCCCCACCCGTGCCAGGCCATGACATTAGTCCCCCTGCTCCTACCACCCAAGAAACTCATCACCACCACCACGTCCCTAGTGCCACTGCAACCTGAGATCACTCCTAGCAAGTCAAACCACTTCCCAGTTTTTCCACCTTTCTCCCTCCCAGTTTTATGCTTCATCTTCACCCTAAAGCACCTGAATATTCAGAGTGAGGGAAAAGGAAAAGAAAAAAGCTCCGCCAATTGTGTGACTAATAGTCTCAAGCCTTCCAGACCACTACAGACAACTTCCCGCAGAGATGAGAACACAAGGTCCTGTGTGACTGTCACTCACTCCCCAGGCACCCAGCCACAGCAGGTAGCGGGTCCACGCACACGCGGACAGGCGTGACAGAGGACGGTGCCGTACAAACACGCGGCTGCTGTGAAATGATGCAAGCTGCTTAAAGCCAGCAATTCTTGCCCTGCATCGCTATTTTTGCAAACCTTCAGCAGGCAGGCTTCCAAAAGCACCTCCTGAAGCAACTAACTCCTTCTAAATACCTCAACACTAAAGCAGTAACAACTGAAACATGCCTTACGTCACAATTCCAGCGTATTTAACTAAACCTGCCAGGCACCCGTTCCTGGCAGCAGCGCGAGCAGCACACACCACCAGGCAGAAGAACGCTGCAGCAAGCAGTTCTCACTCGAGCGGGGCGTGACAGCAGCCAGACAAACACGGGTTAAAACAGCCACTTTACCACACCAGAGATGCCAGTTAGATTTCACATCAATTTCTTTACCTAAAGAGTTCTCACAGAAAGTACAATTTCTCTGAAGTCTTAAACACAGACAAGTCCTTTAGAAAGACAAATTTTATAAAGCTTTAATATCACACATGGAACTATTAAAAGGCTCAGTTTTGTCTGTTTCTGTAGGAAGTACCACACAATGCTCTGGCCATCACCAGCCGCTCCGAGCCAGCATTCAGAACACAATAAAAGGCCCGTTGTCTGTCCTTGTTTGCTGGTGACCTGTATGCTCTTCTAGCCATACTTTTGTTACTATCATCTGACTTGACAGGGATCCACAATGCAGCATTGATTATGCTTCAAGCAAGCCAGAGCACACAATTTTCAGCCATCTACAAAAAAACCCAAAGTGGCAGCGTGCTGTGCAATACCATAGAATGAAAACAAAATTGGAAATTAAAAAAAAAAAAAAATATTGTCAGAAACAGAACTTGCATTTTCATGTAACTTATCTTTCCATAGTTTTAAATTAAGTCACTAATAGCACTGAATCTTGAGCAAAAAAAAATTTGCTGTGAGAAACATGAATGTTTTCACTGATCAGGTCATTGCATTTCTTATTTCAAAACTATTTACAAGTTACCTTTACGATGAAGATCAAGGGAATTTATGCCACAGAACTTACAGCTGTTACAGTGGGGAAGGATCACTCAGCATTTACATCTTCAGTACCCTGACTACTCCCCACACATCAGAGCTTTTAAATCCTCTGTGTGAATTTGACAGGACTTGAGATACTAAAAGATTAACCCTCACAAACAAACAAAAATTCCTGGAAAGATAGAAAAATCAGATCAGCAAGCTCAGCTGCCCATGCTTCTACACGAGCTTCAGCTGTGTGCTCTGTCAGGCCTGAGAGCTGCACCCGCAGGACACCTGAACAAATCAGCACGAGTTACTCACAGCACGAGCTGACTCTCGCCCAGCCATTACTTGCAGGACATGGGGCAAAAAAAGTACTAAAAGGCAGTAAAGGGCAGATAAATCTGCACAAACCTAAGCTTCAAACAACCAGTCAGTCTACTTAGTTTTCAAGTACAAACTTAGTATTTGAGAAAACAACACGGAATTTTGCTCCAAAAGAAGAAAAAATTCTGAACAATGTACGCTTTGAGAAATTTGGATTTGATATTCCAAAGAACATGTATCTCAAAACACGTCTATAACTACTCCATACATAAATCAGAATTGCAGAGCTGATTCAGAAAATGCTACTGCCCAAGATTCATGACACATCACAGGCTCCTTTTCAACAGGATTACTCATTCCCTTGCTTTTACAGATAATACGTGAAGAGGCATCCCAGCTCACCACAAAGTTACACAACATTGCTATTAACGTACCAGGCCGCCTAAAAATTCTATGACTTTCTGAAATCCCACATCTCACCATCTGGCTGAACTCTGCTTCAGCCATTTAATATTAATATTGTTCTTTCTGCAACAGCAGCACCAACGAGCCTCTGCTCAAAACTCTGTTCATTCCCCAAAAGCCGCGCTCTACTCCTCCTTTTGATAACCAGAGCTCCATTAAACAACATGCTCTGCTTAGAGGAGAAGAGCCCGGGAGGCTGGAGCCAAGAGTAAACATTCGAGTTATGTGGAAGCCCCTGGAAACAGTGGAACATATCCAACAATCCATAATCATTGTCCACTGTCCCTGAAAAGTGTAATTAGTCCATGTCCCACTGGTTCACCAATGCAGCAAGAAAAGAAAAAAAGAGACAGCACTGAAGTCAGAATGAGTAAGCAGATGCAGCACTGGAAAGTCTACTCTTGTTGAAGGGTTGACAGAAGCAAGACTTGGAAGTTTTGTCTTCCTCTGCCACACTGTGGGAGCTGCAAAGCACCCAGACAAAGCAAAGTTTGAGCTTGTCAGGTAACGAGCAGAAAACAAGATTCAGCAGGTACCTTCATGAAATGTAAACGATCATGAGGATGCTTTTACAGCTGGTCAGGGAAGAGCAGTACCTGTGTTCTCTGCCAACAAGCTCCAATCCTGCAAGGGATGTCATTTGGCAACTAGATACCGGGAAGCTCAAAATTAGATCAGTAAGTACAGCATGAAGCAAAGAGGGAAAGATAATCACAACCAGCTTCAACCTACTCACCCTGACCTAGATAAAAACCCAGGAGGTAGCAAGGCAGAAAAACTGCGAGTTGCCATAACTTAAATATATCGTCGAAAGGAGAAATTGGGCCAAGTGCATATTGTATGTTATAATAAAGTCCTCACCTATATTTCTCTTCATA